GTTCTGCTCGCTGCCGGCCCCTTCTAATCCGCTGCCCTCCAGCCCCGCTCCTCCGCTCGCCATTTACGTGTACGTACGTACATACATACGCACGCACACCTCGGGTGTGCTCTTTTGCGCAGAGACACCAAGGTTCTTGTGAGAGCTCACCGCCTCTTTTGCTCCTCTTTTGCCTGGTTAGTCCACCATATATGTATATATCTATATATATCTATTTATATCTCTCTCCGTACATATTTCTCTCCTGTATAAGGAGAGGAATATACATCCTGCCTCTCCATCATCCATAGCTCATAGAACTGAGCAAAGGAAGACCTTGGATTTCCTCTTTTTTAAAGTGCACGCGTGTGTCCTGAAACGAGTGGGAAAGGCGTGCTTGTTTCTTTTCCTTTTCACCCGATTCTGGTTCGAAAAGTCACTCTTGGCCATGGTGGCCTCAGGGTGCCCTGTTTGAAGCGTAAGCAACCCATTCCATGCGGCAAAGCGTGGAGTTTTACAGCAGCGCGTGTCACCGTAGCTAAAAGCACCGCAGTTCACCAAAACCTTTTAAAGCGCCTATGGATTATTTAGGTCCCCATGCTTTCTAGATCGAGCAGTTCGGTGCCCTTTTCCCCCTCGTCTTCTCGATTTCTTCCGTTCGACTTGTTGTTAGCATGAAAAATACTGCCGGGGGAGAGAGGCATGCTCAATTCGTGCTGCGTTAGCAGGCGCGTTCGTTCCTCAGCCCGGCACGCTCACGCGGCCAGGGCACGAAGCTGCCGAGGTGCTTTGCTGTGCCGTATGCGTCATCGCTCTCTCTCGGCCAGTACCAACAAAAGCCTCTTGATAGGTAGAGCAACAGCATCATCGTATGAATGTCTAATTAACGTCGCTGATTCTTGGCTTCGGTAAGCGCAGTGTGAGAGTTCAGCTTTTGAGCATCGTAGTTAAGAGACTGTTCTGTAACCGTACTGCACGGTGTCAAGAGTCCCACTCTGTCGAAATTCGTACACTTCCCCCACCGCGCTCTTTACTGTAGGCCAATATATGCAGATACGTATTCTTCGTATGTTCTAGGGGCCTCATTTTGCCAGGCTTACCTGAGTTCTAACGTTTTGCTCCTTCTCCTTCACAGAATCCGACATTGATGCTGCTACTGCAATGATGCTGTTAAATACTTCCATTCAACGAGGGATGTTGGACTGTAAGCATAAGCCGTATTACTCTGGTTTTTCTTCTCCACGCAGTAGCTAAATGTTTTCTCTATAATATTTCAGGAAACGAGTATGGTCTAGTTTCCAAATAGTAAGAGCGGTCAAGAAGCAATTCTGGTTTGATTATTCTTTCTGCTAGCATTAACAGAGTTTTATAGAACCACTTTCTTCGCCCCCCGCCCCCCCATAAATTTTGTTTTTTCTGCGAAGTTCTTCCCCTGCCCTCTTTGTGCCTAGATGGTAAGAAGAGTTTCTTAGCTACTTCTGTTTCTCCAGCTCTTGGTTGTGATTAGCTGAAGACCATTGTCCCCTGTGGATGACAGTAAATGTGCAACAAGATATTACAACTCTTAAATGCTCACGTTCAGCTTGCTTTGCAGTCAGCCAGCCATAGTGTGCTCATTTTGCGGGGGATCTCATTGGAGTATTTGCTTACCGATGAATCTTGTTTTTAATAGGTGAGAAACCTCAGCCTCTGAAGACACCTAAGAAGAGGAGTTACGGCAGTGCATTCAATCCTCCCAGTTCCATAAATTTGCAGGAAAGTGATTCTGCGGCCACCAATATCGATCCAAAGGAGGATCACAACTACAGTGCCAGCAGCATGGGTTCCCAGCGCTGTGCGTCTAGGTCCAGCGTGTCTTCCTTGTCCTCCCTTGATGAGGTGTACGAATTTATCTCCAAGACCAGCCACGATGGAAGCGATGGCAGTGAAGGATTTCACAGCGAAGTGGATACAGACGTTGACTATGAAGATGATCCTCTTGGAGACAGTGGCTATGCATCACAACCTTGTGTAGATACCTCTGAGGAAAGTCAGCCTAGCAACAAAGCACTCAAGGAGTTATGTCAAGAAATTGATGAGGAGTTGAAAGAAGCAGCAGGGTCCCTGCTCCACCTTGCTGGCATCCAAACATGCTTGAGTTCCTTAATAAGTACTGCAAAGACCCACTGTCACAAGCAAAGGAAAAAATAGTATGTTTGTCAGTGTTGAATATATACATATATTTTTTTTAATTGTGGCAATACTCTTCTACTTTTACCCTTCACAAGGGAGATCAAAGCCATAAGAGGACTCATTGCTTTTTTATTTTTGGCGCTAACTATAATTTAGCCATTTATTTTTAAATCACTGCCTACAAAGAAAAAAAAAATATTTAATCTTCTCAAATCAGAAGAGATGCATGACTTGTGAAAACCTGAAAGCATACTTCCTAATGATCACTTTTTAATTTTTTTTTTCTTTTTAATAGTTGATTTTTTTTTTTTCCCCCCAGACATATGTTTGTTCAGATGCACGTTGTGGATCGTATTTACATCTCTGATGGCCCCATCTGCAGAGTTGAATTTTGCCCTGTCTAAGGGCTCTGACTTCCATGTAAAGGATTAAAAAGGAGGAGAAAAAAGAAAGAAAGGGGAAAAAAAGGGTCCTGGCCTCAGTTGGCTCCTCCCACCCAGCCTCTCTTCACTCTTCTGAGACAGGTCCCAGTGGAAACGCTGGTGAAGCAGCTCCGAGTGACTGCAGTTTTCAGCCCATCTTACACAGCGGCTGAAAACCTGCAAAACTCTGGGAGCTGCTTTCGGCAAGATGCTAAGCCCCCCCTGGAAGAGTGGGGATGAGGGGTAGCTGAAGTGGGTACCACCTGCAGTTTTCTTTCTTTTTTTTCCTCCTTCCCCCAAATCTGCTGTGTGCAGGTCAGATTCCTGAAGGAAAACAGGGTGTTTTTTTTTCATCTGAAGACAAATTGTCTTTTTTGGGGTGTGTGTGTGGGGGGTGTCCTTTTCACACAGATGCACGCATGCCTTGGGTGTGGCCAACAGGGAAAGCTGCCGCTCTCCAAGTTTGACGTTGTCCTCACGTTCCCATCACTGTTGAATACGTAGTAGCTGTGTAGTCTTGCAACATCTACCCTTCTCCTCCCCGACACCCATTCAGGGGGAGAAAAGAACCCAACAGTTGATGGTGGTGACAACATGGACAAGGTGAAGGCTTTAGGTGGCCAAGTGGTGAGTGGCTGCTGAAAAGGGAACGTCTTACCCCCCAACCTGAGACAAAACAGAATACCTTCCTTTTGGATCAGCGAACCCTGAATTGCTTTGGGGGTTTTTGTCCCTTCCCTCCCAACACTTAGTGCTTTTTGTCCCGTGGGCTGTCTATACCTTTTGTTTCCCAGATCACTGTGCCTTGCGCTGTGTGAGTCCTATCAGCCTCCTGCTGCAGACGGGGCATCTGACGGGCAAGGCTAGGCTTTAGCCTTTGGATGTACATTGTAGCTCAGGAGGACCTCTCTGTTTCGGGAAGAAATTCCTTCACAATTCATTTTTGCAATAAAAGAATCTCTTTATCGTTCCCAGACATCTTTTGGCCAAAAATGTTTTAGTGGTATGGTGAACTTTTTTCCTCTTTTTTTTTTAATTTTCTTTTAAATGGTGATTGCTTACATCTTCTTGTAGATGATGGCTTTTTCTTTATTTTAAAGTTTTCTGTTCAAAAATGGGTAAGCAGTTCTGTTGGAGTGGGTTTTAACAGTACTGTAAGTACAAGGATGCCTTAAGTATGTTGCATAAATGTATACAACTATCAAAGGTCATCTTTCCTGTTTCAAAAGGTAGCATGATGTGCCATAAATGTTCTCCCTAACACGTGCAGGTGTTGGGCAAGCTGGTTGAAAATTAGGAGCAGAGCCACCTAGGAAACCGATGTCCACTGTTTTGGTTGCTGAAAACAGTGCTGGATTCAGCCAAAAGCTAACATTTCCCTAACAGGGTATTTTTCTGGCTATTTGGAGGCCTTTCTTAGCTCAGTGCGAGTTTTTTGGTTGTTTGTGGTTTTTTTTTTTTCCTTCTTATTTGTCCGTCTCTTCATGAATACTGCCATAAACTGTCTACTTTAAATATGAACACAGCCATGCTGCTGAAGGTCTGTTGCTCTGAGGGCCTGTTCCAGCGCCTCTTGAAGACAACAGTGGTGCTCCTGCTGACTCAATGGCTGTTGGATCAAGCCTGAAATATTTGAGGTTCTTTGTGTTTTGGAATTTAAAGCCAATATTTTTTTTTTAAAGCACAAACACTAGATAAAAAAGTTGTGTGGTTCCCCCCCGCCAATTACTTCAGTTTTAAGAAGATTTGGTTTATTTCTTGAAAGGGAAGAAAAATACTCTGCTGCATT